GGCTCGGCGGTGAGACTGAATTTCAAAGAAGCGGAGAGAAAAACCAAATGCCACCCTCACTGTAGCTTACTGAGCTTCAAAGCTGTGGTCTCAATTACTTCAATTTAACCATCATTTTAAATGCGAAATAGAAAAAGAAAACATAAACTTGAGACTTAATGGCTACAGTGTATCCACTTGAGATGCTGTAAGAAAGAATATTGTCTAATGAATCTGCTTATTCTCCTCATAAGGACTTAATAGCTCATCATCTGTTATGATAAGAATCAGTCCTATTTCCACTACTTCTGCTGCCCCATCCTGAAAGGCAGTGGGCTTGAAAGCACACCCTCCTGGACACAAATGCACAGGCAGACTTGCCTTTTTCTCAGATATGCTGTGTGCAGCTTATCGCCCCCCTAACAGCTCCAGCTGCAGCTTATTTGTATGTGCAGCCGACTGAGGATCCATTAGTGCCAGTGAGTGAAGCCGACCTGGGTCCAAATGTCAACCCATATTTCTTCCCTCACATTCAAAACCGTCTCATCTGCACTATATTTACGTGCCTTGGCACATGTAGGGTCACACGACAATGTTTATGTCGGTTCCCTTCGTTTGCATATTGGAGTCTCTAATCTCTAATAGAGCCTCTCTAGCTTCAGCCAGATAATTTTCCTTTTTAATGACATTTGGCAGGCTGGCTGTCGCTTCATGTCCATTTTACACCAAAGTGGCTCTAACTGCTCACTGGAGCGTAGCGATGATCTTCTTGCTCTGTTTCCAGGATGGCCAGCTGTAGAAATATTCTCACTGTTTCCAAGAGTCTTTTATTTCAGGACTATTAAGCCAAGTGTCTCTTTGGAAACACTTTTTCCCAAACACACGAGCGGAAACCTGTCAGGTTGTGGACACATAACTGAAGCAGGAGGCACCTGAGCACAATCAGGAGTGCCACAGCTGAGGCCCCCTGTAGGTTAATCATTTTCATTTCTGTCAAATGATAGAAATGAAATGAAAGGAATGAAAGGATGATATGGCATCCTTTCATTTCTAACGCATTACCCAGTCCATATCAGAATAGAGATCCAGCAGAATGTTCGTGTTTCTAGTTGCACAGAATTCTTGATACAATCTTACTCATTTTTCTACATCGTGGTGATTTCCGTGGAGCACTCTTTATCTGCTGCAATCGGTCATCGGTCCGTGATCTGTGTAAATCCACGCAAAGCCCTGGGACTGAGTTAATTTATACACTGTTGGAAGCTTCCTCTTTTACTCCATCTGTTGTTAGAGCTGAGATTTGGCATCCTGCTGGGTTTATGAACATCAGCGACGGAGCATTAATCTGTTGATTTATTTTGTCGTTATTCGCACCGACTCTGGTTGTTGTTTGCCTTGGTAGGGAAGTATCATGTTAGCATGGGTTTATTGAATTATGATATGTAATGGAGAAAATTATCAACGGGGGGATTATTATATAAACAGAAACGATGCAAACACAAATAGGCAGCGGTGAATTCAATCTGTCACAGAAATAGCCGGAATCTTTTAACAAAACCGGCTTTGATGCAAATTGGTTTGTGCTGCCACATTTTACAGAGTGAGACTTTTTATTTCACATTATGTTTCTTTGATTTTCTTTTTGTCACAATAACATTTCAACAAAATCACAAGACTTTTGTATTCAGACTTCATTTGATTAGAAAGTTTTGATGGATGATGTTTGTGTGTGTGCATGTGTGATATACAGCACTGTGCAAATATCTTGAGCCACTCCTCATTTCTTTGTATTTTTGCTTTCAATGAGAAAAATCACAAAACGTTTTTGCCCATATTTTGTGTTTCCATTTATGTCTGTGCTTTTCAAGAAGTCACTGCACCTATTTCCCATTTCCATAGCAAAATATTAAATAAAAGAGGGGTTGCTCAGGACGTTTGCACAGTACACTGTATATCAGGGGTGGGCAACTCCAGGCTTCGAGGGCCGGTGTCCCTGCAGGTTTTAGATGTGTCCTTGAACCAACACAGCTGATTTAAATGGCTAAATTATCTCCTCACCATGTCCTGAAGTTCTCCAGAGGTCTGGTAACGAACTAATCATGTGATTCAGGTGTGTTGACCCAAGGTGAGATCTAAAACCTGCAGGACATCGGCCCTCGGGGCCTGGAATTGCCCACCCCTGCTGTATATAGAGCGTTCTATCAATAGAATAATGCTGTCGCTGCAGTTTGCTGAACTGTGTTAAGTCCCCTCCTATTTAATTCTTTTTCTATCCATCGGTCTCTCCCTCTCCTCAGGCTGGCAGGTTATGTAGAAGCGTTGGCGTCTCGGTTGGGGATGCAGATTCCTGACCTGAGCCCAAAACAGGCTGATATGTGGCAGACAAGAGTCAGCTCTCACACGGTGGGTATAGAAACAGTTACAGAATTTGCTCTGGTTCGCTCCCCCAATCTGAGCGGCTCCTGATGTGGGAGTGAAACTACTGCAAAAAAAAGTGTTTCTGTTGCGTTTCTGTTTACTGTGCAAAATGCACATCAAACCAGGACAGGCCTCAAACGCGAGTAACCCAAGTCTGTGTGACGGGGCCCAGCTTTCAAATGTCATAAAAGGAAATGGGACCTGGCGATCTTTAATATGCTATAAGTGCTGAAGCATGAAATATAATAAGCTACAGTGATTAGTCTGTCACCTGGCTGGTTGCTAAAGGCTGCTGTGGCTTGTGAAGAAATAGTTTTTAATAGATACAAGCCTAAAATAACATATCGGTCTTTGGAGATTTTAAGTGTTTGCCTTCAACCCTTTCTTAGCGTTACAGTAAAGAGGGAAGGTGTGACATGAAAAGCACCAATAAGAGCTCAATAAAAAATGACAATAAAGACCAATTTACAGTTACATAAACAGCTCTTAATGCTCCAAGTCACAGTTATAAAAAGACATTGTTTTACATTTGTGCCTTTATTGAACCTAGTGAATTTTAACTCACGCTGCAGGCTGGAGAAACCTGTCCACCTCTGTGTAAATGACTTCTCCACAGGGTTCGTGGATTCAGCTGCTCCAGTTAAGGAGACCAGATTGAAGATGTGGGTTGTGGATATGTCAGTTCGTATAAATTAAGGCCACTGGGTCTTTTTTTCAGACAGAAATCATCTTTTTTCAGTAAATAAAGGAGTATAGGGATGCACAGAGGCTAAGAAAGCTCAGGGTGTTCATCAGACAGCAATAAGGCGGGCTTTCTGCAAATAAAAAAAGAAATTTGAGGGTCTCAAGGATTTGCCAACCTGCGAAGATCACACCTAGAGAACAATATGCAATCCTGAAATAAATGAAGAATAATCCCACGGTAACAATGTGCAGAAATCCCTCCATCTTTGCTAAAATCTTTGTTGTCTTCTTCCCACCCGCAGGGTAAAGCCATCGGCGTGGGCATCGGCTGCATCCTCGGTATGTTTCCCCTCCTCTTCTTCAAGGACGAGGATGAGAAGAAAGAAGGCCAGGCGGAGGTGAAGGAGCAAACGCAGTCGTCACCTGCTCCAACAGAGAGCAGCAAAAACTGAGGCGAGGCTAGAGACAGCTACTATTCAGAATCCGTTTGAATGCTTGACTTAATCTGACGCCGACTGCTCTCGCCTTGTGCGCTGGAGCGTATGGAAATATCAGTGAACTCCATACGGTCCAATCGCACGGCTCAGTCGAACTATCGGAGGTATTCTGAAGAGGATTTTAGATAATATTCGATCACAAACTCTGAACTTAAGCACAGGAGGCTCGTCATCTCTCGAAGAAACGACTGCTGCTACCTGATCCCGTAACCTCACTTCGTCTCGACTGACCGACACGGTCATTTGTCTAAGACACCTCCTCTAACCTCTGACTATAGATGGCTAGATCGCATATAGGTTAACTGACAGCTTCATGCAACCCCTGAAATATTATAGGAGAAAACACAGTTAGAGCTCAGTCGTGTTATAAAGTTCTTGTTTTCTGTCAGAAATCTCGAAAACCTTACAGGGAAGACGGAACGAAGTCAGTTTAAACACCCTTTCCGTGTTTCCTTGTCAGTTTTTGGTGGTTATAAACCAAGAACACAGTGTCTTCAGTTCCTAAAGCATGTAAGCTTCTGGATTTGAGCAAGTCCTGCCTCATCCACAGACCTTGACAACTAGTCCGCTACAGGTAGTTAAATCTGTAACACCTGAAAGCTTCTTCTTCTCCTCAGTGATGCACTGCATATGCGCACCTCTGCCAAAGGGTTCACACAAATCACTGAAGAAGTTAAATGTATTTAAAAGTCCTACAAAATATTTTAAAGAAGAGGCAGAAGGAGGAAGAGACGATGAAGTACAAACCGTGGATCAGCTGGATCCTCTTTCCTCATTTGCACTGATCCTCCGGTTCATATGTCCGTATTTGCACCCACTGGACGAAATACAATATATCCCCCTCAGAGGTGAGATGATATTCAGCCTCTTCTGAAAACAGCCACGCGTAGAGGTGGAGGTTTGGGGGGAGATGAATGTTATTTTGCATAACGTGACTGCTGTAGTGTTTTCATTTTGTGAGATTAACTGTTACGGTGTGTGCAGACGGGCTGCATTTCTTCCTGTCCCTCACTTCTATTGTGTGTTACTGCCCTCCGCTGGCCGATAGACGGAGATCTAGTTGTTTTCTTTCAACTTGGTGGACCTGCTACGACCCCCCCTTCCCCCTCCCCGTACACAGGCTATAATTCACCACAGCTCCCACAAACCTTAGCTGCTAGTCTCCCCCGGTTATAATTTCCAACTTTCCTCACATCGCTCATCACCCTGTAATTATTTTTCTGAATGATTCTCCTTCAGGAGCCGCACTGAAGAAGTGTTTAGAAATATACGAGAGGCAGCTCTGCGTCACAGCAAATGTATTTATTTTGTTATAATAGACTGGTATTCATGTACGTTTGTATTGTGTTTCTTCTCTATCTCAAAAGGGCCGTGAAAATATTTATCAGCACAAAATATACCTGAGTGAGTATATTTTAGCAGCTTTCTATGCCATGAAGGACCCAGCGGCTGACCGCTTTATGTTACATGAACTCACTACGCTTGTTCTAAAAAGACTAAGGAGACCCTGTATACCCTGTATATGACTGTTTTCAATATTTACTGCGTGGGTAAGAGTGATCCTGAAGAATGATAATAATGAAGAAAATGAACGCGTACATATATGTAGCTAGGATTTTTGAGTTTTTTATCTTGATTGCTTGATATCCACCTTGCATGCACTGTTAATAAAAAGAAACCTTAATTTAAAAAAACAGTATGTTGTAAGGTTGTGCATCACAGCAGGATGTGACTCACTGGTGGAGGATAAAGGAGAGGTAAAGTACTCCGGCTGGAATAAGATGCACAAGTTATTTAAAATAAATAAAAACTATTTTGTGGCCACAAAGAATCATGTGCTTCAATTTAAGATGGCTAGCGATAAACTTCAGTTGCTTAAAATTGGATTTGCTGTTATTACTTCAAAAAGGATTTTATGAAGGATGGGAAAGGTTTGCAGTAATAACAGCAATTTGCCTCTTTGAACCGCGCCGTTAAATGGCCTGTCCCAGGCTTTAAGGCTCTCTTCAGTGTGCCAGCCGCAGTAAAAACATATAATCTCTGTTAAAGTATGGTAATATGACGGTTACTGCCTTTTCCTGGATACCATTTAAAATACACGACTGAAGTTATTGTGCTGTTGAGAGCCAACAAGATCTCCAGTTCACAGAAATTTTGAGCTGCGATCTCTTTTTGTTGTTGTTTTTTGAAAATAAGGTGGGAAAAAAGAAATGTTTGAATCCAGCATGCTGCAGTCAAATGCATGCATTGAGGATCTTTTTTGTTTGACGTGCTGGTGTTCCTCGAATGCTGTGAGTTGGTAAGTTGTTTAAATTCATTGCATTGGTACAAGCAGGAGCTGAGATCAGCTTCATCTTTTTAGGAAACTTCATTTTAGCCGAGAATAATCAGTTTGCCCAGTTGCTCCTGTGTCATGATGGAGTCCAAGGTCCTGAAAAATTCATGTTTTGCTCTCTGTGAAGATAAAGATTTCTGTTGTTTGTAAGCAAACACTGAATATGTGCTCTGTGCAACTGTATAAAGAATAGAACCATTAAAATAATCCTTAAATATAATGTAGACGGACAAAACTGGTGTAGATTATAGGAGTGTGTTGCTGTGTTTTGTTTCAGAATTGATCTGCTTTGATTAAAGTTGCGACCTGGCTGCAAACATCTTCCCTAGTGTGGACTTTGCCAGAATGTTCTGCATGAGGACGCTGTTTTTAAATGTATCTATAAGGTTCGCATTAAATGCGTGGCCTGCAGCTCTTCAGCCATCAGGCTATCTGCAAATGATGATTAATTTTGCCTCTTCACACCACCGCAGTGGATGTTAAATCAAAGTATCAAGATGGAATTGAAGTGCAGACTTCCAGGTTTAATTCTCAGGGTTTAGCAAAAGTATTTCCTTCACTGTTTAGGAATTACAAGCATTTTGAAAGTCATTTCAAAACTTTGCCTTTGGATCATTAACATTCTGTAGCTTGGGAAAGTGAAGCCGTGCTTTTCTTTATCTGATCCAGGAACTTCCAGCCTCTCCTCCTTTTTTAATATCTCTTCCTACTCCTGTGCAAGCGTTTGGATCAAATAGTAGCAAAGATTTAGGACTAGCACAGGAAGCATGAACAAATAAAAGACGAGGACTGAGCCTGAACAATAAGTGGAGGCTTTTTCTTGTTATATATTGTTCATTAAGGACAGTTAAATTTTGTTTTGTTTGTTTTGATGATGAAATGTATGATAATCTTTTCTTTTTTAATTCTGTAATTTGATCAAACTTCATAGATTAGTCATTTTTTTCTTTCATCCTGTGCATTTTTGTAGCTTGTGTGGAAAACTTATCCAACTTGTTTCCACATTTTTAGGTGACAGGTTGAGGATTTCTAAGAAATATGCAAACACTACAGCTGACTAAAAAAAGGTGCATACTCTCACCTTTTCTAATCCCTCCAGATGATATGGTTATATTTGCAAAAACTAGCTATGCAAGCATCCATACTTTTCTGATCAGCTGTTGTTTTAATAACAGCTGAGGTATTTGAGTCTCTCTAAAATGAAAACAGTCAGGCATCGTAGTGATTGTTCACTTCATTTTATACATGTTTGTTTTCCTCTCGTCTTGCCTCCCAATTGTCATTACGTGACTGAATTCAGGCAGAATCACTGCACACACGCACACATCTGTGTCACATGGGAAAAGACGTGACACGAGGGATGAAGACGGAGCCCCTTTGAGAATATCATCCGAGGTTAAATTGCTGAGGGGAGAGGCGTCGCATGGAGAAGGAGAGCAAACTGCAAGAACGAACACAGCAAATGTTTTCTGACATCAGAAATTAGACTTCGTTTGTTCCTAAAAGAGGTTTTACAGTCACATCTTCAGAGCACAAAAACAAAAAGCGTCTTCATTATAGTTTATAATAAACCTGCAACAGAGTTTCATTCGAGCTTTATTTGTTACTCAGACATTCCTCCACACAAAACACTAAAATGGAGCACTGGTGTAATTAGAAAATCTCACATTCTCACAGTCAGTACAATTAGACAGCAAACATCATCAAAGCAAATACAAAAATATCTTCAGTATCGGTATTAAATCATTTAAATAGCTGCTCGTCAACATATTCATACTGTAAATCTGCCCCTCTGCTCGTCGCCCTGCTCTAAAATCACATCGCCGACACAGAAACCCGTGGAGCCACAAATATGTTGCTGGGTTAATGAGGCCTGTGGGTACCACTTTTTAGACCTAAATGCTCAGAACTTTTGGCCCAAAAGCCATCATCCCTAAGACTTAACATCATGACAAGTACTCATGTACGTTCAAAGATACCACTTTCATTACCATAAAGATACCATATTCAAAAAAATTTAATAGCATTTTAACTTCCTTTAAAATCTTTAAAATACCCTGGTATGTCTATTTTTTAAGTGTTAAATTCATGCTTTCTCCTCATCCCAAGTTTTGAAGCAGCTGTAACGTCACCTGATATGTCAAAAAGTCAAGCCTCAAAGCAGAGCCTTAATAAATTTAAGGGTTTAGTCAGTATGTAAAAACTGATCCAAACAGGCAAACATTTTCTGTCGTTATCAAGTTTAGATTCAATTCCAAAGCGGATAATAAAAAACCATTAAGATTGTTCTTCCAACGTGATTAAACGTGATGCACTAGGCAACTTGTATAATGCATTGTAAGACAATTTTCAAATGTGATGCGCATTTTCTTTACAAAACAACATCTTGCACTGCAACTCGTGTTATAACAAACGTATTGAAAAGCTATCACATAGCTTGCAGATAGCACCATTAAAGAACAATCCGACTGTGCCACCTTTAAAACTACTAATGCTCCAAAGTCTATAATCAGTCCTAAAATTAAAAAAAAGTACTGCAAAATAAAT